ACTTAGAAGAGGAAGAAGAAGAACTCTCTCTCTCTCTGTGTCCAGTACTAACCTGTGAAGTTGGCGCCTTGATGCAGGTACCACGAAGATGGAGCTGGAGCGATGGCGCCACAGGTAAGTATCGCTAGCCTCCGCCAGCCTCTCTCTCCCACTCYACGATCTACCACCTACCAGCGCCCAGCGCTGAAGACTACAGCTACAGCTATGGCGCCCAGCGCCGAAKACTACAGCTAGCGCTAATACCTACTGCCTAGCGCTGAAGATCACTGCAGCGCTCCTCCTGAGTGCTGCGGCCCAAATCCTGAAGACTACCACTGCCTACTGACACTACCTACCCGTGAAGTGCATGGGAACTTCCTATGTACTACGGGTGTGCCTCCTGAGCCTGCCGAAGGGAGGCAGGGGCTGCAGCTGCAGCTCCTGCTCAAACTCGTGAGGAACAGGCTATTTCTGGCCTGTTCCGCATCCCTGTTTACGTGCCTGAGTCTTAGGGGCAGGTCGAAACAATGAGGGCCTGAAAATGGCCCTCYGTTTCAGGCTGAAAACTCTGGGTCTGAAAAGACCCAGAAATAGGCTGAAACGGGAATAGGCTGAAACGGGGTCGGGCCTGTAGGCCCTCGTTTTTCAGCATCCAGGCTGAAAGGAACGGGGCCTGTAAGCCCTAAGTTTTAGGCTTTTAGGGTGAATGTCCGGGACGGGCCCTGCAGGGCCCGTGTGGCTACGCAGTATGCCACACATGGGCATAGGCATGCATGATTGCTGTGTTTTAGGGGTGGTAAGTTATGGTCTATCGGATGAAGTAGGTATAATGTCAGTATGCGTTGTGTATGTGTATTTGTCTCTGCAGGTGGATAGGAATGGATAAATATGCGGATGAGACATCTGCGCTTTCCTTATAAGAGGCCGTCTCTATGAGCGCTCGACTTATTGTCATGCATTTGCGTTCTACTTATTGTCATGCTGTTGCATACCCTAACGGTACAGACCAGACCAAGAACCGACCTTTCTCACATGATACAAGATAGCACAACGGAAGGCTTAGATACCGATGATCCGATCAATCAAGCTGCCATGCAGACCAAACGTGCGTCATCATCATTCCATGGTGTGAAGGGCGCTGACGCTCACACGAGAAGAATGTGTCAGTCCCCGATCATGCACAGACGAAGAAGAGGGGGATTAGACGAAGGGGACGGGGAAGATGGAAATGTCGTCAACACCAAGTCTTCGATACAGTCCCAAATAATCCCTCGCCAAAGGTCTGAATCCCGATGCTGAGTCTGAACCCAAATGTCGTCAAGTCCCAATGTCGCCCATCTCTCTCTCTCTCTCTCTCTCTCTCTCTCTCTCT